CAAGCCCACCATTCTGCACAGAAACACAGTCAGGACATGTTACAGTGAGTACACGGAGATCTTGGTTTTAGTTTTTAATTCAAAGAACTTGTGCCCTCTATAATGCATCAAATTTCTTATGCTCCTTTTGTGCCCTCTATAATGGTGGCATAAATACTTTTCTTAGCTTCTAATCATGAAGCATGTATATTAAAGGAAAGATCTCAGAATCCAATTTTTGTCTCCCATACACAACTCCAACTAAAGAAAAATATATGCTAAATCATCATCTGTTTTTGTAGAACCAATTGATTAAATTATTATTATTAACTGCAAGGAACTGATTTTAACTTAATGAAACATTCATGTGAGATAAAATTCACATGCCCCGTGCCTGACCTGACTCATGGATTCTCTCCAATATTCATGCCAAACATTTCCTGTAGCATCACGTCCTGATTTCTCTGAACCAAGTTCCTTGTAGCCAAACTCATCAGCCGCCTCCCAATATTTCTCTTCCCACTCTACAACTTTGTCAGAACTCACACCCCTGGTTAGAGTCCACTTGCAAACCACTCCATCAGGCCGTCTTTCCAGTCCTGTATCCTTCCACCATCTAGATCCATCTGGATAAAAGCCCTGGGATGATACTTCTTTTGCCTCATAAAGAGCCTGCACAGCTTCAGCTGCATTAGCTGAAAAGGCAATACCAAGTTCATGTTCCTCCTCCAGGTGAGGTGTTTCTTCAGCAGAGCTTGAAACTCCCAGTTCCTCAACTTCCACAAGTGATTGCAAAGGAGGAAGTGGAGCTTTACTTGGGAAACTTTTACTCTCAAATGGAAGGAAGAGAAAGTCTGCAGATTGTTCTTTCTCCATCACAGGGCTGATATTGGTAGGATCTAAAAAAGCCTTCATGTCCAACTTTGCTTTTATCCCATCTATAGCGTCATCAGTTTCTGAGGGAGGCATCCATGACCAAAAATTTGGACCTGGTGTTCCAGTGCTAGTGCCTCCAGTTAGAGACAGCAAAGAGTTGCCATTTTGTTCTCCTGGTCAATTTTGAAACTAATGAATTTGCACCAAGGTAATTAATTGAGAAAAATGCCGTGACCTTTGAATGGTGAAAATTTGCTATTGCAGACATTGCACAGAGAGGCAAAGCACTCAAAGTTAAAGATAACCAACACCACTGAAATACAGGAAAGATGGAATAAGCAAAATGACTTGCATCGAAAGGGTTTATCATCTTATCCTGGAGGTATATCAACAAACAAGTACCAGTCGGCAACGCACATATGAGATTTGAAGTTTCCCTGAACCAAAAAAATCACTAAGGACCATGATTGAGGTTTGAGGTAAAGTTGCAAATACTAAGAATGCTCAAAGATCTACCCAGGTTCATGTGGTGTGCATACCAGAATAACAAGTGGACTGCTTTTAGTCAACTAAAGACAGTCTCCGAAGAAAGAAGAGAACGGAAACATCCAGTCAAAGAGCAATATACTGACAAAACATTTGCTGCACAAGAATGTTGACAACGTCCTTTCACATTGACGGAAGCAAATATGAGTATCTCATGCGCTTGGGTTTAAGCTACTAAGCCTTGTTAATGTTTGACAGGATTCTTCACAAACTTGAATAAAACACTCATGTAATCAACCTCTTCTGAAATACATTAAAAAAAAAAAGGCAAAGGTTACATTACACAAAAATAAATAAATAAATTTAAAAAAAAGAAAAACTTATTGAACAGGAGAAATTTAGAATTTATTAACGATTCATCCTAGACGAATTTCAACCACTAGGATTCCCATTTTAAGCATCACTCTAATCTTCATTCTAGAATCTTAGTTGAGATCAAGAGGAAGAAGCCTTCTGCGTAATTTGACAAACATCAAACTAGACAGTTCCACATGACAATTTTTTGCTCATATACAACTAGAAATTGACACAGAAAGGGACAAATTTAATGCACTATTTATGCTTCAGTTGCTCAATAGTCTGATGACGTCAAGTAAACAAGTTCATCTTCCCAAAATCTCATCTATAAACAAGAATGCACTTCCAAAATAATCAGCAGGTACTGCGTGAATGGCTTCCTAATCTCAAGTTCCCAAATTATGCAACTAAAACTAGCCCTAAAAGCATATACATTTCCACTTCATCAAGTCCATTAAAATTGTTAAGTTGACATCCCATAAATGTATAGCAGCATAATACCTCTCAACCATTGACAACAACCATAAAACAGAAACAAAAAGAACAATTTTTTCCTTCCAAATTAAGAGTCAAATTACCTCTGTGATCATCCTCCACATCTTCACCAGCCTCAACCTTCACTTCACTGGATTCCTGCATCTTTGGCGGCTTATTCTCCTTAAGAAGTGCTCTTGCTGCAGCGATTGCGGCCGCAGCCCGATCAACAACCTGCATTCTCTGGATTCTGTCTCTTTCTTCAGTAGAAACATCAAGAATCTTCTGAAACTCGCTGCTTTTTCTCTCCAACTGTTCTTGACTAACTTTTTCTTCTTCCTCTGCCTCTCCAACATCATCATCACTGTCTCTAGCCATGTTTTCCGCAATCCTCTCAAATTCTTTGGACTTCCTGTCACGATCCACAGCCTTCTTCCACATGTCCAAGTACGAGTCTCCGCCACTTGAGACATGGATTCTTGTACTTCTTAGAATTCTGGGCTTGTTTTTTTTAGTCAGTTTGATGAGGTCTGGAGGTTCTTTGATGAGAATAAAATGTGGGTTTTGGAGTTTGGGGATGCGGGGTTCTGAGAGGGCGGCGCGTGTGCTTGCGCGTAGGCAGTTATAGCTAAATTGGCTAGCCATATTTTAGTTAGTGTTCTGGGAGTGTTCTGGGAGAGAAAACAGGGGAGAGAGGATTTCGGTGGATTTGATTACGCGAAGGGTGTGCTTATTGGAGTAGTTTATTCATTTATGTTAACTTTATATATATGTGGGCAAAGATTAAAGATTTTCTTGAAATTGAAGGAAAGTTGTGATGCTGTCTGCTTCTAGAGTTTTGCATTGCAGAGGAAACCAGGAAAGGCGCCAGGTTTAACGGATTTAGCTGTTTCTGTACCTTTTTAAGCTTTATTGAAAAGGACAAATTATATTTTACCCCCTGTAGTTTTCGCAAAAACCACATAACCCTCTTATGATTCTAAAAGCTATACATAAACCCCTTGTGTTTTAGGTTGAAGTGTCAAACAGACAGAAAGTATCCATCGTGACGATTTGTGGGCCAAATGTCCAAATTACCCTAATATAAATATAAAAAAAGGAAGCAAATGAAGTCAGATTTTCTCTTACTCTAGTCTTTGTCGTGAGAAAGAAGAAGAGAAAATTTTAACCCACAAAATTAAAACCCTAGATCTACCATTGAAGATCAAAAAGTAGCTGTGAAAGAGTATCATGAAAGCTATTGCTGTGTCTGGTAAGTTTTCGACATCAGTTTAGCATATAAGATGCTTTTTGTTTATGGTTTGTTGCTGGACTTTTTGTTGAATCTTGGTGTCTGCTGGACTTTTTGATTAGGTACTTATGTACCTTATTTTGTTTTGTAAAAACTAATTGATGTATTACCAGATTTTTGTACGGAGAATATTTTTTGGTGTCAACATGCCGGCTTTGTCATTTGCCAATCTGAGTGGGGTTAAAAAAGATTGTCACTTCTATTTGTGTAGTGAAAGACGGTGCAAAGTTGATGCAAATAGTGCGTGCATTAATTGTATTTATGCTACTCTCAGAATATTCACAAATCGAAAATCTGACCATATATCCGCAAGTTGGTTTAGCAATCAAGTTTGGGTAATAAAATCATAGAAAACCCATTCGTTCAGTATCTACAAACTCCACCAGTAACGAGTATATCATACTTGCGTTTTGAGAAATACAAGTATATCATCCTAGTGACAAAGTGTATCATACTTGCCTTTGAGGCCCATTTTGCAGATTGAGCCGAATGAGCTCTCGAATGGAGAAACAACCTATGAGAAAATCAAGCTGATCATGGTTGATTCAAGCAGGTGAAGGAGTTTCACAGGTTTCTTTCTCTAATGTCCGTCCTGGGGAAAATCTCATCCTGTTTTGCCTCCCATTTGCTACATCAGTAAATGAAGCCTAAATAGCATGGTGGTACAAGTTTTCATATACAGATTGCCTCCCATTACCAGATTTTTGTAATAATACCAAGCCTTATTGGGTGTGTTAAAGTGGTCAGGGTAATATGGGAACGTTTCTAACTGCAACCAGCACCACAAGCGTGTTTAAGCCACGAATCGTCACGATGGGTGCTTTCTGTCTGTTTGACACTTCAACCCAAACCACAAGAGATTTATGTATAACTTTTGCTTTCTGTCTGTTTGACACTTCAACCCAAACCACAAGAGATTTATGTATAACTTTTAGAATCATGGGGGGTTATGTGGTTTTTCCAAAAACCACAGGGGTAAAATGTAATTTGCCCTATTGAAAATGATTGGCAATTGGGAGGGATTGGGATTTGACACCTGGCAGGCTTAAAATGTAAGGCTAGCAAATTTTTGAGTAGGGATTCCTTATTTATAACCATTTTCTTCAGGGCAAAGTTCTGCTTTTGATCATCTGTATTTGCTTTATCTTGAAACTTGTTCATTGAAGATGTTTTCTTCTTGAGGCAACCATGCAAGCTCTGAGCTTTAAATCCACCATGGAATTTGCTTTAAAAGTTCTTTGTTATATTTTGCGTTCTATAATTATCTGAATTGATGAGATTTCACTAATATAGTATTATATTGTACAACTTCTCAATCGCGGAGAGATATTGGTAAAACTAAAATTGTCACTCCTAAGTTGTTCAAGATAATTGACAGCCTTTGAATCTCCAATTTGCACCCCTCTTAGAATAATGGTGACATCCTCAAGAGGTTACTGCTTTGTGAGGTTTGGATACGCAGCGAAGTTGTATTGGTCTGACTGATGTCCATTACAACTCCATATCAAAGTCACGAATATGGATTTTGGAGAAGGAATGAAATCTGAACTCAAGCATGAGATTTTATAGAAATCACTAGTTAATCCCATGAGGCAAACCACAAACACAAATTTTACAGCAGATGATCCATAATCAACCCACAACAGTGAAAGTAGGTAAGATCATTATTGATTAGCCAGGCGAGCGACTATGCCGATTATAGGTGGCAAAAGCCAGACAGAAGACAGCAAGAGCACCAAGACTTGTGAGCATGATCAGGAAGAGCATATAATTTGGGAGATGCTCATTTACGCATAGGCCTCAGGATTCTGGAGGAGATAGGCCTCAACTGCTTTGTACATGCCCAAGACCTTTTCTTTGCCGGCCTTGACTTCATCCTCATTGAGCTTGAAATCCCCCCGAGTGTAGTATTTGCTTGTCACCTTAGAAATGGAACCACCATCAGGTCCCTTCTCAAACTTGATCTCATATGTTATTTTCTCAAGCTCGTCAATCAATGCATCCCCTTCGACCAATGTGTAGCTGTATGTTAATGCATCATCATTCAGTTCATCGATGCGATACTTGATAGATTTGAAGTTGCTACCTGCATAGGAAGAACTATTAGCCTATTCTTTCCTTCATGATTCAACATGTTTTCGCTTTTTCTCTTTCTTAACATTTGGTTGAATGAATCTAAACTGTTGATGTCTTTGCAAAAAGTTGATGACCTTACCTTCTGCAAAAGTAATCTGCTTTATGCTCCCAGCACCTCCATCACCCTCAATGATATCCATGCTTTTGATTACTTGTGGTAGGAGTTTTGGAATCAAGGTATGGGAGTCAACAATTGAAGCCTTGAAAATTCTTGATGGGGCAACAGGCGAAGTGTGTTCATCGGTGTAAGATGTCACCCCCATGATATTTGCCTAGGAATATCAGAAAATATTAAGACCAATGATTGGTCAAGAGGAGGGTTCAGTATTATTGCAAGGGTATGGCAGAGGAATGATATTTATAGGTAGGAGCAATGGGAACTTTGTAATCATCTAATTGCTAACAAATACTTTTGTACGTCTGAGACGGCCATGTTCCACTATTTGTCCAATTTTGCCTGTTTTTTATGTTTTCAATCTAAATTCCAACTCCAAATAGTTATCCAGGAATTGCAAAAGGATAAACTAGGTTCCCTGAGTTTGAGGGACTGCTCCAAGGAGAATCACTCTATTTTATTCTTCCCCTTGTCACCAAATTCTTGAGTGAAAGAGGCCGACTGCCGTGTGACGAGTACTTCAACAAATAGACCGAAAGACAAGAGTTAAAAAAGTGCAAATCAACCTTTAATCCAGCAGGAACCAGAATTATGCCTTTCGGAAGAAAACAAAAAAAAAGACTCTACTTTGAGGATTTCAAGTACTACTAGCTAAGAAACAAACCTTAATAGCCCACGTATGCTCCATAAGACTCTTGTGGTATTGACGGCCCAAAAATCAGGGACATTGGGCCTCCGTGGCACCTCTGGTGGGATACCCGGCTTGTGAAATGGTGGCGCTGTTGAGACCTCCGGTGGAGATTTTGCCGGTGGATCATCTGGGCCGGTGAAACTCAAATTTAGCTGAAGCATGCACAAAATTTTGGTTGTCACGGGCCCGATCAACTTTCTGGAGTGATGATACAGAGTTGGAAGCTTGCAACAGCGATGAAGGTCTTATACTCCCCGTTGTTGAGGATAATGCATGAAGGAAGATAGTTTTCTTGATCAAGCTTTGATGAAATTGCATAAACAACAATTATAAGAAAGAGAGAAATTCCGGTGGGACGTTTGTTGATTTGCGGTCAATGCTTGAAAGAACAAGACGGTGACACTTGGATTTGGTGCCACGACACTTGGACACAATTGCCACGACGATGACACTTGGATTCCATGCAAGGGATCCCTTGTTTTTGTCATAAGCTTGTGGGCTCTTTTTCGAGAAATTAATATGTCATTGTCAATTTTGTTTTTGTTTTTTTAACAAGAGAACTTCAATTTAAAATCCCTTATTTATCGTCTTTTTTATATTACCATCTAATTCAATCCTCTCGATTTTTATCTACTGCAACAGGTGCAGTTCCAATCAAATTGCTTTCCTTTGGATACTTTATCGAACACAAGATGAAAAGGAATTTGAGTTTTCCCTTCGATTATTAGAGAAGGAACCATAGCCCTTAATCAAATCCAATCGAACCCAGTTCTCTTTAGCAAAGTTGATTTGCTGCACGTCCGACCATGTTTCTTTAGTCCATCATTGTGCCACCGTATAGGCGCTTGAAAATTGAACCTAAATTATTATTTTTGAGAAATAGTGCTTTAATTACTTAATCTAATCAACCCTCGTACTCAAATGTGCTTTCGTTTGAAAAAATTTTGGGACATGTTAAAAGTACTTTTTTCTTTTAAGATTTGAGAAGCACAAATAAAAAAGGGGACATTGAATCCAAAATCTTCAATTTTTAAAATTTCAACTTTAATCGTTAGACTAAGGCGTGCTTCCATGTTAAAAGCATCTTTCAAGACCTTTCTTAAACAAATTTTTTGGCATGAATTTCCACACATTTCATGACTAAAAGGGTGCCAAATAAAGGAGTTGTTTGTTCTTGTACCCTATCACACAGGGAGTGAGCAAAAGATCTTGAAAAGCATGCAGGGGTTATGTTGAATGTGTAGAAAGAACCACGCCTTGAGGGTCTCACTTCCCATGCACTCTTAAAAGCGTGGTCACAATGGAACAGTAAGAAACCACGTCCTCAACCGGCAAATACTGTCAGTTAATTGGTCGAAGGCAGCTCGTGCCTGTCTGCCGGCACATATAATACTGAACCAAGTACGGAGAGGGCTACGGTTTTGTACTGTGTTCCCTTAGACCTTAGTCACGTGACAAACAGAAAGCGGGCAAATCCAGCACGCGCTCCCACTTCACGGGCTCAGCGTGTACTCTCACTGCCACTGTTCCTCTCATTCTATGCGTGACATGATTCGCCTCCGTCAACTGGATTCCCACTGTGGCGGTATCTTTAAGCATGCCCACGCGCACTCCTTGGGCTGGAGCTTCACAATTTATTTTATTTTCACTTTTTTTAAAAATTTTTTTCTTCATACATTCAGCCAATTTGGAAAAAAAGCTTAGCAATCTGCATGTTGTTCAATCTGAATGGAAGAAAATTCCGAAGTGGTCAATTTCTTGAAGACAACAGAATACTTAACTTTAGCGGTGCTAGTGGCATCACACATGAATAAAGGCCGGATTCACTTGCTCACACGTTCATGGATCATACGGTTGAAAGTGAAGTTGGATTCAATTTCTTTTTTTTTTTTCTCTAGTAAATAAAAGTCTGAGAGAATTTTGTTTCAGACAGCCAAAGATGTACTCCCGAAACCATTACTTTTAAGAGTTAAGAACTTTTACATTTAGTGGTTTCACGATCGTGTTCGTGAATCTTATCGTTTAGATAACGTATGGTTAAATTTTGAACCCTAATCAGTGATCACTGAATTAGTGTTTACAAATCCATACCGCTAGATTATTGATGATTTGTGGATAGTTTTAGGTGCTTGTGAATCTTTGACGTTGATCAAATTGAGAGGATGGAGATTCAATTTGAAATGAAAAGTTATATTGCAACACAAATCTAAACGTGTTTAAATGATCGCGAGCTAATCTTTTTTTTTTTTCCGATAACGATAATAAATTGTACAACTTATTCTATCATTATCTATAGGGGATGAGAAACTTAAGGAGGCTTGTGTGTTATGTATGCAGACCTATTAGACAAAGGTTCTTTTTTTTTTTTCCGATAACGATAATAAATTGTACAACTTATTCTATCATTATCTATAGGGGATGAGAAACTTAAGGAGGCTTGTGTGTTATGTATGCAGACCTATTAGACAAAGGTTCTGTTTGATAACATAAAAAAGTGCTGAATCTGAATTTTTTCAGACATTCAGATGTTTTGAGTGTTTGATAAATGAAAATCTATTTGCTGAACTTGTCAAGCAGTGCTGAACCTGTGTGTATTTTTTTCAGCACAAGAATCCTAACTGAATGCTTAATTCTGATAAGAATCAATAGAATTACTTCAACTACCTTATCTTATCTACCAAATCTACCCTTGTTTGTTAATTATGTTCAAAATTCTTATCTAATTAAACAACATAATATTCTCTATCTAATGATTTTTAGTTTCTCTTTTCTCCCTTTTTAATGACTTTCACATCTTCTCCATACTCCTAATATAATATATTTCATCTTTTATATTAATTTGATTTAAAAATAAATATTGTCATTTTCATACCTAACAATTTTAAACTAATTAAATCATAGATTCTATTTCTTTTTTGAATGAAAGGATATAAGGGCAAAATTGTCAAATTAAACTTATTAAGCATTTAGCTATAAATATTTATCAAACAGCATAAATAGGTTTAGCATTAAAATTCAGACATTTATATATTTTTTTCAGTACTTAAAATTCAGCAAATTAATTGTTTCAGTATTCAGATTTCAGACTTCAGATTTCAGATTCAGTTTTATCAAACGGAACCAAAAGGAATGTTATGGCATCATTCTTGAATTTTTTTTACAGCAGGCAAGGGTTGAACCCCAGTTACACTCCAAGGAAGGATTTAAGTCCCTCCTGATGGCCACTAAGCCATGCCCAGTGGTTATTCAAAGGTAAAAACATTTCTTAAAGTTCCCAAAAAGTTTAGAGCGAGGTAGTCAGTGTTATCATTCCTAAACCTATAAATGTGAATTTGCTAGCACTTATATGACCGTTTTTACACTAAACAAATTGCGATGAAATGTTTTAAAGATGAGACAATAATGTGAATAACCGAAAACAAAAGGCCAGGAGAATTTCACCTGCACTTTTTGTATAGGGAAAATCGTAAACTCACACGAGGCCATGAAAGGAGGGCGGATAAACACAAGGTGACAAGAAGTACGCAAATTTTTGCTGTTGTCTCTTACCCCATTAACTGGACTTAGACTAGGCTTGGAAACCAAACCGAATGAGAGATCCAGACTCAAAAAGGAGAAGATATCCAGAGAAGAGAGAGAGACAGAAAAGACACGAAAATGATCATAATATTTTTATTAAAAGGAAAAAAAAAAGTGGAAAAAGCAAGACGAAAGACGACAACCTTTTTCTCTTCCTCCACATTTGTGACAAAATGCGCCTCCCAACAAAAAAGAAAATAAAGAAAGCAGCCTTTTCCCCTTTCTTTTCTTTATTATTCTTCTAACCTGCCTTGCCTTTTGTTCGTTTCTTCCTACTCCTACCCCATTTATATAGATACGTGTTACTACTGCTTCTCTACTTGTTATCCAATTTGTTGTGCCCCAGTTCCCTTCCTTTGTCTAAAAATTGCAACAATTTGTCCTCGAAATCAGCACACAAGATACAAATTTTCTTGTAATGGCCTTCTCAAATTGATCATCCATCTGGGTTTTTGAGTTTTTCAGCTGGGAATCCATTTTTATTCTCTGGGTTTTAGCTGCTATGCACATTTCCATATTCAACCGACAAGAAAATTTGGTTTTTTTTTTGGGGTGTCTTTTCTGGTTTTAAGCCGAGTGAGAGATGCAATCAGTGAGCTCGGAGCAGGGGAGATCGGCGGCAGATACGAGAGGGAAGCATAGGATTTCTGCTGAATTGAAAAGACTTGAGCAAGAAGCTCGCTTTTTGGAGGTCACTCTCTTTGCTTGACTTCTTAACTCCTTTTCACCTCTTCAAGTATACATTCAAGCTTTTCGTTTTCTTTTCCATTTTTCTTTTTCCCTTCTCTTGTGGCAATTGATTGGCGATTTTCGGTTTGATTTTGAGTTCAAGTGGGTCCAATTCTGTTTTCTTGCATTGTTATTGTTCAATAAGAAAATGATGTCACACATCGTTTTTCTTCTTTTTATCTTTCTATATCAGGTAAAAGTGTGGTATTTTTCAATGAAATTTTGTACCTTTATTTTTCTGCTGAGGAATACAAGGGTTTAAAAGCGGGATAAACTTTGTGTTAGTCATCTGTATTGTCTCTAATTTGGTTTTTGCGTTTGCAAATTCTCGCCTTTGCCGATTGCTGCTGTAAATTGGAACTTTGAGGTGGGTTTGTGCGTTTTGCAATTGCAGTTTTCGTGAATAAAGTGTTGAAGTTGATTGCAGTTTTGAGTTTGTGTTCAAATATAAGCCTCTTGCTTCAAAATAGAAAGTTCCAGTTTTTTCCCACTATGGACCCGTGACTATCTAGTCTCTGTCATGTGGACGAACTTCTGATGTTGATCAGTGTAGTTTTGAGTAATAATTTGCCTCGGCAATTTGTTAAGGCTCTGGGTTGAGGTTCTCTGCTGGTTATTAGTGTTTGCAAAGGCTTGGTGGGCTAAGTTGTGTTGAATCTTTTATGCTTTCAAAGCATCATTTAGTTCATAATACACTGTTTTATCCAGAGAAAATCCAGCGTATCACTTGTCCCTCCTTTTTGTTTTTGTTGTGGTAGCCTTTTATTCTGCTCCAAACGAACACTTGATATGTAAGATCCTAGTCGATAGGAACTTGACACATTGTATATAGGGCACTAGAATTCGTACTTACAAAGGTCAATTAAAAGGAAGCCACATTGCTATCTGAAATGGCACCGTGCCATGACCTGCAGCATCACCAAAATTTTGAATCGACTCTGCTAAGATAATGAGGTTTTTGATTGACTCCATTATGAAGCACTCAAAAGGCTGACCAGTTGTAAGCCAGTGATTACACCTCAGTAATCACCTTCCAAGGTGAAGGCAAAAATATGTATATGCAGTTATAAGTCAGTCAGTAGACCATGAAGCACGTGAATGCTAACCTCAAGAAGTAGTTTTCATCTAAACCCTGTTATATGTAACTCCTCTCACTTCACATATAGAGTAAACCTTGTCTTTTCTTTGAGATTCTCCTTCTCTTTCCTTGCTTAACAGCTGAAGTTAATACAATCCAGTCTATTAGCTTTTGAGTTTTATAATCAGTGGATTTTCTGAGGATTTGTCTTATAAGTTTGGTGGCAAGTAAGCTACTCTTCTTGTTTTTTAGTTGGAATATAGTATGGAGACGCTGAATGTTGCACCGGTTGGTTTCTTTCCAAAATGACATGATATTTCTCTATTTCCCAGTTGTTAGACATTTTTACTGAACTAAGAAGTACACTGTTACTACTTTTTAGTGGCCCTGTTCATTCCTTTGCATGAAGTTTCGAAGAAGACACTAGATGATGCTACTTGGAAGAGGAGGTTTGCAGTTTAACAAACTGCTCATGTTTGATGGTTGTTTGGATTTTCTAGTCCTAAGAAGGTGAAGGGCGTGGCTGGTGTTTATAGTTGGGTGGTTTTGTTGATTAATAGGTTGCAAAAAGGTGCCAGTTTCGTGGTGACTGTTATAAAATGCGTCTGTCTGAGATCCTTATCCCTTCCTCCTTATATTCTACCTCTTCATCTTATCCAGAAGAAACCAGCACATTTCACCATTCTTTGTACCTGATTAGTTTAATTTTTGGTGTAGCTCAAAAGAATTTAGCAAGGATCTTGCTCTGGTGCCAATATAAATGATGGCAAGGGCAAGGGTTCCTCATCCTCTCGTGAATTATGCAAGCAAATGCATCTGCAAAATGAATTTGTGCTTTACATTTGGATTAAGCTTATTCACTGTCGATTTTATAATCATGATTTTGGGATCAGGACTGGAACTGGTGATGTTAGACTATTAATGTGGTTAGTAGTGCTAAGCTTAGACTGAGACCAAGTAGTAGTTAGGACTGCTTCCCCATTATCTTTAGATAGATATTGGGTGGTCATGTTTATTAACTCGCACTAGTTCGTTAACCTTTTGATCCTTTCTTGTGAGACTGCTTGAGATTTCACCTGACGTAATGACTGATTCGGGTTGTCTGCAGCGATAGTGTTTCATGAATAATATTTCATTCCCTAAAGATGATGTTTTTCTGTGTAGGAAGAACTAGAACAGCTTGAGAAGATGGAGAAGGCCTCAGCTTCTTGCAAGGAGTAAGTAAATATTGTAAATAGTATTTACTTGACCCAATAATTGTTTGAACAATCCTTTCTACATTTATGGTAATGGCTCAAATGAATTTTCTGTAATGCAATCTAGGATGCTGAGTAAGGTGGAGACAAGACCGGATCCGCTACTTCCAGCGTAGTACACCTCCTTGTATTTTTTTCAATGCTTTGAAAGTCTGCCGTTCCTTTCAAACCTCATTCTAAAAGAACTCATTTCTTTCTTCCAGGACGAATGGCCCGCTCAATCCATCCTGGGATCGATGGTTTGAGGGGCCTCAAGAGAAATCAGGATGCAGGTGCTGGATTCTGTGATTGTTGGTGCTAGAGCAGTTTGCTAAATTGATGGTTGAGCTTGTTACAGAGTACAGATAGGAATATCCTGTCAGGTTATCAAATGATCCATTGTGCAGAGATTCACAATTTTTCCTTACTCTAGATTATTCTATATCAAAAAATTCTATGTTTTCTCCCCTTTCAGTTACCCCTAGAAATGGAATGGAATACAGCATCGTGTACAAATGCCCATTTATGTTCTTGTAAACATGATTAAGAAATTTCACCTTATAACCAAGAGATAATTTTCTGTTTTGTATCCTCATATATTTCTTTATTGCCCTTCCTTCAGTTTGTTGTTTTTTCCTTTCTGATGTGGGGAAACAGGAGGAACAGGACTTGGCTCTGTTATCTACCCCACCCCATATATGTATCCTTTGTGATTTTGGCAGTTTAATTGCTGCAGCGCCCATTTCTTGGTTATGACTGTATGTGTTCAGTGTGCATCTAGAAAAATTTCCATATGCATTTTAAAGTAATTTGATACTAACAGTTATTAACAAAGAAGAGGCATAATTTATCATTTTAGTGATTATTACAAGTCTAAAGAATTTACTGCAAAAATGAGCTGAAACCCAAGTTAAAACCAGGTAAATGTTAATTAGAAATATGTGTTTTTAAACTTTAAAAAAAGTTGTGGACTAATTCCGTTCAACAATTAGTTATAAATACCTTTCAATCGATAACATTTGTTCCAATTTTTTTTTTAGTTACTGCTAAACATTAGAAGCTCCACCTGAAAACAAATTTACAATTTGTCGAATATTTTCGACTATTTGTTGTTCATCCATATTATCAGGTTTCAATTTTTGATAATTTGTTATAATTTGCTCGTCCCTACGCTGTCGACGATGCATGAGTTCTAGTTCATGCGTGGTCTTCAATCAATTATTTGTAATAATTTCTGCGGTCCCAACCCAAGTTGTGATTGAAAGGCTAGCTAGCGGAGGAATACCAGAGACGTTATCCCAGATATATTCCATTAGCGGTTGAAGTCCATCCAAAAGCTCCTTATTAACGTAAGCAAATCTCACTCACACGAAGCAAAATCTGGTTGAAGAACCGTATGTCACGATAGTCTTCCGCCAAGCGAAAAAGCAAAGCGACCGCTAAAAATCACCAACCGACAGATCAACAGGAGCACAGAGGACTAGGATTAAAACATATTTTTTAGCAATCAAACTTGCCAAATATTCACTCAGGAGAAAATGAAATGAAAGGTACAACATACAGCTCTGGTTTTTCCCTTTTCTTTTTCCACGCACAGGAGAACTCAATCTGCAAGTGCAGGGAAACCAATAAAAACAACGTATTCCAACCACAGGAGCGAGGACTTCTACACATGAACTTTAATATTCTTTATATCAACTCTCCAAGCTTGGAGCCTTTCCACTAACCCGTTGTGCTACCCAACCCAAACCATCATACAAACCTTCACCAGTAAGGGCACAGCAAGCTTGGATGTGCCAATCATGATCTTTTATGCTATGAAGGGAAAGCGCATCAGTTATCTCAGCAGGACTCATGGCATCCTTGAGGTCCTGTTTATTTGCGAAGACGAGGATAACTGCACTTTGTAAATCCTCATGCGGGAGCAGCCTGAAGAGTTCATCCTTCATTATGGAAATCCTGGCTCTATCAGTGCTGTCAATTACTACAATCACAGCGTGAGTTCCACGGTAGTAGGTAGCCCATGACGTCCTAAGCCGATCTTGACCGCCTAGATCCCAAACCTGATTGAGTAGCATCAGCAAATAAATTAGATCAGATTAGCTGAAATAAGACATCAGAATGCACAAGTTTTGCTTTGTTGACTAGGATGAAACCAATGCTAGATTCAGGTGAGGTTTCTGGAAATGCAAATATGAAGTGCCCTAGAAAATATAGGATCTATATGTACTGTACAGTCAAGCTCCTCAAATTTGTATTTGTGTGTAATATTTCCCTCCAAGAGCTAGTACAACCACAGGGACTTACACTTCATTTTGCACCATCCAAGAGACACAAGAGACCAATGATGTCAGTCAACCTTTTGCCAATACAAACTAAAACCTACTTCAGTTTTTCAACTATTACATCTTCTTTTCCTCATGACTGAAGGAAGAATCTGTACAGGTGATCTGCCTACATACTGATGACGGTTCGTAATAACCACCTTGTTCCCATCCATCATGGTGAAATAACCAATATACAGAGGATAAGTATATCTTGCACAAAATTTGACTATCTGTAATTGATGCTGGACTTTTATCCGAAAAACCAATAAATATATATATTTTCTAATTCCCTAGTTAAATCAAACTACCAGTTCTCCAGCTGAAAAAGATTCCTGAGTGCCATAAATTGCTACAAAGATCCACCTTTCTAATTCACACGGAATCCAAAATCTCACATAGAACCCACAAACTCTTTAAGACCTAATTTTACATTTCCTGAAGTAACAATTTGACAAACAATAACATCTACAATGAAGTCACTTAAGCAGCAAGCATATATCAATCAGTTAGTACTTCGAAATTCCTACATCTTATTGTCAATTAACTAAGTCGAACACACTTAAAAATGCATTTGAGTATATAAAACATCAGCTACATCAACCATGTCCAGAACCAGCCACGTATCAAGAAATTCTCCAAGACAAAACCTGAAATTGATCAAGACCTAGTTTCCCGCAGAATTCAAATTAAGAAATAAACACATTCCAAGGCATAAATCGAAAAAGCAACCGACCTCAAATCTTATATTTTTATAAACAAGTTCTTCGACGTTGCTGCCGACTGTAGGATGAGTAGTAACCACCTCCCCCAAATGCAACTTGTAAAGCGTTGTCGTTTTGCCGGCGTTATCCAATCCAACCACCACAATCTTGTACTCCTTCGCCGGAAACAGCATAAACCAAAACCTAGACAAAAATGCTCCCATCCTTCACCTGCACAATTAATTCCCAAATCACTATCAATGAAACAATTCGAAAAAGAAAATTCTCCGATTGAGCAACTGAGTGCCAACAAATAATTCAGCTCAAAATTTTTAATAAAAAGAACATAATATAGCCAAATTGCTTTCTTTTTACCTTTCCAATTGAGAAATTTAACTGAAAGAGACCCTAAATCGGAGCCGGGGAAATCGAAAGAGGTTCTCTGGGGAATTATCTCGAGATCGGGTAGGATCGTTGTTCCTTCAACGCCTAATCAAAGTTTGCAACTTGGGAACTTTTATAGGAGCTAATTTACAGTTTACTCCCTCAACTATCATTTACTTGTAAGTAACCCCCTAACTTTTCAACTCCCTCAACCAAAAATGCGTTTGGACTTTTGTCCAGGGGAACGGAGTAGGGAAGTTTTGATGTAATATCAAATTTGGAGTCTCTTTCTTGTACAAACGATATTGCTCTTGTTAATAAGAGTTAAAGACATAAAACGTCCAAAAATAGAACCGTTTGGATTGGTCATTTTTCAAGTAAAAAACTACAGTAATACATAAATAAAAATATCTCTTCCATATAATATATCAAATATTTCAAAAAATATTTATAGTAAAAATTTTTCATATACACTATTACAATAAAATTTTTCAAAAACACTCCCAAAAACAGTTAATCCAAACAGAGGAGCACGGGAGGAGCAATTAAATATCACTAGACTGGACCTTGCAAGGATATTTTCTTTTGGATATCTTTCGCTACTAGCAAAATTTGGGGGTAAAACATTGATCAATCTCCTGGTGGAGGGTTGAGTAGTGATAATAATTTTAGAGGAAGCAATTCAAGTTAGGCTTGGGTCCATCTGAGACCAATTGAAGAAAGGGTCGGACTTGGGCTTAACCCAAAAGATACTACTGTAAAATTTGATGACATTAAAAAAAAAACTTAAAATGAGGAGCTTGAAGTTGATTTGGAGAAGCAGTTGGGGGCGATTAGTTTGCTATTATGATCGTTTCCACTTTTTAATTTGTCTGTATAAATAAATCAATCAATATCTTTTTTATGATGCATATTCTTCGAACAAACCAAAAACATGTTTGGGTAAATCCAAAACATAATAAATTCAGGCAACCGTGAGAATAAGAGGAGCAAAAATGGCACTAGATGTAAAATATAATTATAGAATAAATTTTTATAATTCTGCACGTGGTGTAAAATATACACCTTATATATATATATATATATTTTTTGACCAAATCTTGGCCATAAGCTTTGGTGAAGGTTGCCAGCCCCTCCTCCTTGGACAACATTCCCAGTTTTGCCAAGGACTCCAAGCACTTTTGGGCCTGAAGTGAATCGACACTTTTAATTCTCACTTTGGAGGGGTTACTGATTCTGTCTGTCTCTCTTTCCATTGTATTTGTGTCTCCATCACTTTCAAGTTTCCGAGTTTCCACCCAAATTCCAGACTGAAACTTCAAAGCTTCCTCCCTCGCCTCGTTTTCTCCGCCCTCCAAATTAGAAGCAAACTCGCACACTCCCCTATTTTCTTTGGTACGATTCCACCCTAACTCTCTTCATCCTTGTCTCTCCCCTTTTTAGCTAGTACGTCACGCACCCGCAGTCTCCGGGCGTAATCTTAACTCCGTCAGCGGCCACCTTAAAATAGTGAAACTCCCACCGGAAAATGTCGCAGTCTCTCAATTTATCCATTTCCACCTCCTCACCAACTTCCCCCAATTTCGCATCCCTTTCAAGACCCTCAACTTCGTTCCTCACCGGAAGTTTCCGGTTCCCCGTCAAATTCAGACCCTCCGGCCTACGTACACCAGCACCACCGGAGCTTCTCATTACCAAAGCCTCCTCCGATCCGGAGGCGCCTTCAGCTTCAGCTTCTGCTTCTGCTTCCGCTGCAGCTGCGACTCTAGGTTCGGATAATGGTGTGGGAGGGGTGTTATCGGCTGTGCCGCCAGCGGACACGGGCTCGATTGAGGTGGATGCGGTGACGGAGGCCGAGTTGAAGGAGAATGGGTTTCGGAGCACACGGAGGACTAAACTGATTTGCACGATCGGCCCCGCGACGTGCGGGTCGGAACAGCTGGAGGCGTTGGCTGTTGGGGGAATGAATGTGGCTAGGATTAATATGTGTCACGGGACGAGGGAGTGGCACCGGAGAGTGATCGAGCGGGTTCGGAGGTTGAATGAGGAGAAAGGCTACGCGGTAGCTATTATGATGGATACTGAAGGCAGTGAAATTCACATGGGGGAACTTGGTGGTGCCTCTTCCGTGAAAGCTGAGGTAAAGAATTGGAAAAAAAAAATGATTGCTTTTTTGGTTGATTCACTAATTTGATTTGGGATATGAATGTCAGGTTAATTTTATCGATTGTGCTTATTAGTGGATAATGAGCTAAAAGTTAGGTGCTTTATAGGGGTATTGGAGTTGAATATGGTTAACTTCTTAGAAATAGTGATATGCTTTCTGGGTGGTTTTGCTGAGTTTACTTGAGAACTGACAGGAGAGAACTATGGGGTTGTGTTTCTCATGGACAAGGAATGAATTCAATATTAGTCTTTTTGTGAGTATGAAATTGAGTTTATTCGGCTATTTGTTTTAGGTTTTTTACCTACAAGAGATTGGGGGGGGGGGGTTCGGAATGGGAATTGTTACCGTGTCAAATGTACTTGAGTTATCAAGGTCTATTCTAGTGACTTCTTTTGATTAAGGCTGCAATTACTTCGTTGGTAAGAAGAAGATTAAGAAAAATTTCAGACCTCTGTCATGATAGGAATTTGCTTCATTCAGCTTTCAATTTGTATCCCAATATATCTATACAAGTTTTGGTCTATTATGAGTTGAACTGCTTGTTTTTCTTGAATCAGGTGCTGGGGAGAGTGGCAATTTAATCCATCTTTATTTGAGATGAATTACTTACTATGAAATTGATTAAAAAAAAAATGGCTTTTCAATCTTGTGGTACTTGCTTGAATTTGTCCATTTGCAATTGGTTACAAGTTTCTGGGTTTTGAAGAGGGGATATTTTTTCCCCCATCTTTTCTGAAGCTTGTGGGTTTTCAGAAGTTTATGGTTTCCCAGTTTAGATATGTGCTCTCAAGCCCTTCTTAGAAGTTTTCGTCTTAAATTTGTGAAAACAATTGAGGCATTGTTTTCTATTGGCCACTTCAGTTGGTGTGACTTTTCCGAATTTTTTATAAATATCTTATTCGTTAAAGCCTGAACACTTGCTCTCTTCCCCACACCTGTGGGGTGTTAGAAACAAAATGAGATGCAGCAACTGCAGTGAAATAATGGCTGATGAGATGATGTTTAAATGAGCTTTGCCTGCTTATGCAATTGGCATAGCATAGTGATGCTGTCTTGCTTAATTGCTTGTTCTATCGATGATGTACTTTTTGGGAATGAACTGTTGTCAAATATGCAAGATGGTACAGTACTCAGTGCCCACATCCTTTCGCATTATCAGCAATTTCAGACTTTCGAAAGGGACACACACACACACTCCAAAAGAGTTGGTGTATCAAAGCTAGTATTATCTGACTTTTTTATATTCATGATAGAGGTAATTTTGGATCTTTACATAATGGACGGGTAAAAAAGGTAATTTTGTTAGTCTCATTCATCATAATTGCTTCACTTGGTTGAGAAAATTGTGATTCTTTCTCATGAATGTCTGATAATTGGCTGCTTGAAATGGAAAAAGGGAAGTTGTTCTTCTCCATTCCAGACAAATAGAAGAATCTCGTGTCCGGATAGGTTTCTTCTGATTTCAATCTGAATTGAGTTCTCTCTAACTTTACACATGGTTTCCTTCTCTGCCATCTGTCTATCTGAGATCATGTGGAACCATTGGAGTTGAATTGGTTTGGTGTGTTGTAGTTGATAAAAAAGGACGGAATTGTACATTGTATATTTTGTTATTAATGAATTTAGAAAAGTGTGCTTAATTGGGCATTGGTTTATTGTGCAGGATGGGGAAGTTTGGATTTTCAGTGTTAGAGCTTTTGAGTCACCTCTTCCAGAACGCACTATACATGTGAACTATGAGGGCTTTGCTGAAGGTCAGAAATTTTGTGACCCACATTCTGATCTTACTCTTGCAGAGAGTAGTGCTTCAAAGAAGATAACATTATTTATGTCCTCTAATTTTTTCATTTACTTCATTGATTGGAAAAAGTTGTGTTATCCATGTCATGACAGATGTGAAAGTCGGGGATGATCTCCTAGTAGATGGTGGAATGGTAAGGTTTGAGGTGATTGAGAAAATTGGTCCAGATGTCAAGTGCAGATGCACAGACCCTGGACTCTTACTACCTCGGGCTAATCTTACCTTCTGGCGACATGGGAGCTTAGTACGGGAACGTAATGCCATGTTACCGACAATATCCTCAAAGGTAAATACTTTTCTTTATTGTTCTTGTTGCCTTTTAAGAATGAATCTCTTTCCTGAAATTGCTGCATTCATCCATTGAGACAGATTTGCCTTTTGGGAAACAGTTATATGTATTAATCAATGTGACAACTGGTCATAAGAAAGGTTTTTGCACAGTGCCTGCAGATAATTTTGACTTTAGCAGGAATGGATATCATATTCTCAACCTGATGCTAGGAATAGGATTCCTGTTACTAAGTATTAGTCTGTTCAACTTTGGTGTTTGGACAAGGAGGAAATTTTTTGTCTGGAAAATATTTTATTCTTTCTTTGACAAAATAAGCGTGTAACACCTGATTTAGTGTGATTTTTCATATGTATTCTAAATGAGCATAGTCATCGTCATCTGCACTTATTTAAGATTGAGGTGTAAGAGTTATTTTAGGTTCCAAGAATTCAGTGAAGAGCTGTTAAGTTATTTCCCTTGGACAGGACTCATGGTTTGGAGTATTTTCAACTGTATTTTTGTTTGGTGGGAGATGGACTATTCTTTTCTATATACTTTAGGTAAAATTTAACATAAATAGGAAGAAATGTGTAGGAGTCTACTGGTATTGAGGGCTCAGAAAGTTGTGTACTTGAAAAGTAGATCTTATGGTTACGGTGACGATGAGGTGATTCTCTTGGAAAATGAAAGCATAGATTTTATTAGACTATGAACTGCCATGTTTGTCCTCTTACGCATGAAACTTATGCATGCGTTGAAACAAAGGACACAAGTTTTTATTGACAACTTAACTGAACTCTTCAAATGTGTCTTAATGAGAATTAAATGCTCTTTCAGGTTTAGTCCTTGGTAAAATTTCAGATCTTGTTTCTCTTGACTATTTATGTACTAATTTTAGTCTGTTAATTACTTGATTCCTTGAAACATTTCAAACTCTACGGAAGTATGAACTGTGATTTGGATCAGTTGTAAATGCTGAAGTCAGTTCTATGGAACAGTTATTTTGCCTTGAGGGAATTAAACAAAATGTTGGTTACATGTGCATAGGGGTAGCAGGAGCTGTGTGCTGCATCTTTGAAGTTTCTTAATCCAGATGTGAACTAACTTAAAATAACATGTGCAAATGTATTTTTGCCTGTGACACATTTTGCCTTTTATGTATACGAAGATGCATAAATCATGCCTTTATGATGTTGCTAGGCTTCTTGTTATTTTTATAAATGTGAATGTTTGATTATAAATCTTAATGTCAGCATCTCATTTCCTCAGGATTGGTTAGACATTGATTTTGGGATTGCTGAAGGTGTTGATTTCATTGCGATATCCTTTGTCAAGTCTGCTGAAGTCATTACTCACCTTAGAAGCTATATAAAAGCAAGGGCTCGTGATAGGTATAATTTATTGACATTTTCTTTTTTTGTTTATACGAGGCACATAGATGTTCATATGCCTTTTTGGGGGATGGAAAAAGCTTAAGCCTTCCCTTATCGAGGATAAATACTCAATATTTTTGTGAGAGACTGGAACTATTCTTTTACGCATTAAGTCTGTCTTTTCCTCCTTGCAAAACCTTTCCAGTTACCCATGCTATTTGCTTAAATTTTCTTTTCTTTTGTCTGTCTTCCCTTCTATTAATTTTTCCTTTATTCTTGTGGGTGGGATGCAGGAATCCCCGTTTGTAAAAAGTGGTCTTTGATTACTTTTTCTTGCCTTTGTTAATTGTGTTTATTTTTATGTGCATATTTGTCTGATGGTGCAGTGATATTTCCGTCATTGCAAAGATAGAAAGTGTTGACTCTTTGAGGAACTTAGAGGAGATCATTCTAGCGTCCGATGGGGCTATGGTTGCAAGAGGAGATCTGGGTGCACAGATCCCCTTGGAACAGGTCCCTTCAGAGCAGCAAAAGATTGTTCAGCTTTGTAGACAGTTGAATAAGCCTGTTATTGTAGCTTCTCAGTTGCTTGAGTCTATGATTGAGTACCCTACACCCACAAGAGCTGAAGTGGCTGATGTTTCTGAAGCAGTAAGGCAACGAGCAGATGCTTTGATGCTCTCAGGTGAGTCAGCTATGGGTCAGTACCCTGATAAAGCACTGACCGTTCTCAGAAATGTTAGTCTGAGAATAGAGAGGTGGTGGAGAGAAGAGAAACATCATGAAGTTATGGAACTCCCTGACATAGCTTCTTCATTTGCCGACAGCATATCGGAAGAGATCTGCAACTCTGCAGCTAAGATGGGTATGATGTTTGCATTTACGTTATGTGTCTTGATTAGTATGGCAACCAAGTCCATCTCTCCAAAGGTTATTAAAACAGACCTTTCTTAAATCTGTTAGTCAAATGAGTGAATGGTTGGTTAGACAAGTGCATGGTAAACTGGATTGTTTTAGCTCTATCGTCATTTTGGCGCACAGTTTGAGATTGAATCTACTGTGAATTCCTATTTATATTGTTGAAGGCAAAGTGACCAGAGGCCAGAATATTTAAAAGAGAAATGTAAAGAGTATTTGCGGCCATAGGAGCTTTTTTTCCTCTTGGTAGGAGTGGCAACTGTTTATGAATAGTGATGTCCCTGTTTTTTGTTAAATCTATTACCAGACAAAGATGACTCTGAGTTACTGAGGTGAGGCCACTTAAAATGGCTGAAGCAAGAAGGATATAATAAAGTACTCAGAAAAACAAGAGATGAAAAAAAAAAAAATTGCTCCCAGCTTTTTATTTTACTCGGACCTTTCTTGTATGAATAGAGGAACAAGGTGGGAAAAAAAAGATAAGAAAGAAAAGACAGAGGACTGAATAAGCCTAATATGACTTACTCTTTATCTTGAACTTATTCATGCTTAAGATTCTACTGGAAAGATGTTGCTGTTAAATATTAAAGTTTTATTTTCCATCTTAAAATCTTATTGGAATTTGCTGGTGTCATAGCATGTGTACCATTTTCTTGAGACATTATTGGTATGGTGTTCCTTTCCATTCTCAATACTACTAGTAGCAATTGCGGTTACTGCCCATCTTAGTTCTTTTAATCTCTTTTCTGAATGACCTTTAGGTTTGTTAGGAAATTCATTGCATTTTGTTGTCATATTCCCGGCTTACTTTTCTTCCTCATTTTTTCTCAAGTGATTTCTCTTTAACATTGTCCATTTAAGTCATTGTTAGACACAGATGTTCTTTGAATTTAACATGGCTGTACATTTCTGTGGTTCTTCTATATTAAGGAATCCTCTTACAGGGACCAGTGGACATTTCTCTTTCTGGTGTTCTGTTAGGAACCGAGCTGTATCTCTTAGTATTTCTTTTTGCTTATATGTTTTCCTCCTCTTTCTTTTGTCTTTTCCTTTTCCTTTTGTTGTATCATTGCTCATGCTCCAGAGTCTGCCCTCTGGCTGACTCGTATGGTCTAAAACATACATGAAAATTTATTTTAATGTTTTCTTTTGCCTAATTCAGTGCCCTTCTAGTTCTGATTATTATTTTTTTAAAAACTTTTCTACAATTAAATTTCAGCTAACAACTTAGAGGTGGATGCACTTTTTGTTTACACAAAGGATGGACACATGGCATCTCTCCTGTCGCGTTGCCGACCCGACTGCCCAATTTTTGCATTTACAACCACAACATCCGTCCGCAGACGGTTAAATCTACAGTGGGGTCTAATACCTTTTCGCTTGAGCTTCGCTGATGATATGGAAAGTAACCTCAACAAAACCTTCTCCTTGCTCAAGGCTCGGGGAATGATCAAATCAGGTGATCTGGTAATTGCTGTTTCTGATATGTTACAATCCATACAAGTCATGAATGTTCCTTGAGAATCTAGCACCACTTTCTGCAAGAGCATCATATTTACTGTCTCATCGGGTGCAAAGGTTTGTTTTAAGCTAGTGAAGCAAAAAAGGAGGGATGGCAGTTTCAGTCCGCTCTTTACCCCATCGTACCATCTGGTTCGCAAGCATTATCTACTAGTGTATTGAATTGAAACCTGTAGCGAAGTGTACCCAGAAGTTTCGAGATGTACTTGGGTTTATTGTCATAGCGAGGCTTGCTTCGGTTGAGTCGTTCTGTTGTAGAATTATGGGCACAAAGGACAATAATAGAACCTTCACGAGTAACCTTCAATCTTACTCATCAGTCCTTTCTTGTCTGTTGAAATTATTCCCCAATTTTCGCATCCGCTAGAAGTCTCTTGGGGACCTCGGCGACATTTATTTCCGGCAGCATTCTTGTAGCTAGTCAGATAAAACCAACAATTTCTTGGAAGTAATTGGCATCTAATAATGCATTAATTGTCTCTGTGGAAGATCAAGACAGCCTTGGAAAAGGCAGAATAATTTCACAGCCTCGGGAGGTATTTCAGTTGTACCTACCCTACCATCACTCTTTGCTGTAGGTGTAGGGTGTGGACCTTGTCGGATGCACTCCAATTCGGGTACAGTGTTCAAGCTGGGCACCAAAAATCTGCGGGCCAATCTAATCTACCAATGAATTAGGGATAATGTCAAAAACCTCCCTTGAGGTTTCTGACAATTTTACTACGCTCTTCTAAGGTTTTAACAATTTCACTTGTCTCTTCTCCTCTCAGTCATTTGGGACTCCACTCAATGTTTCATATGTGAAGGAGAGAGAGAGTTAAATGTTTGCTAAAATATATTAACCATAATTTGGATTGCAAAAGGTTAATTAAGTTGCCATTTAAAAATAGAGTTAAAATATTGGGTGCATCTTTATAAATTTTTTATATGCGTGACAAATAAAAGAAATCCGACGTAATGTAATTGATAAATTAAAGGATTTAGACATGAGAAACAATTAAGCCATTTACAAATGAAGTTAACCATAATTTGAAATGTAAAAAAAAAAAAAATCTAATTTGGCATCTAAAAAGGTTCCGATTTATGTACTTGATAAATAAAAGAATCAAATATAAAGAGATTTCAACTGGGCTAATTTTTCTTATAATTGAGCAGGAAACATAGAGGTGATTGTACCCGTTCAGATCCTGGAATTGTTTCAAAGTACAAGTTTGCAAATACAAACATTTTACTTTATGTCTCTGCTAGGTATTTTACATCTTACCTTCCTTCCTTATAAAGGATGACAATTCTTGAAAATTTTTCCTCACTAAAATCCGAATTCTGGGGAGTGTAAGGTTCCTTCGTGAAACATTTACTGCAATCTAGTAGTACAAAGCCAGCAGCACGGGTTACCTACACCGAACCTTCAAATGAATACTACGTAGTACCATTGGCATCAGAGAGTAGGCTCATCTGGAGAAATTCCTTCCGCAGCTAAAAGCCTAATTACTGAACGGTGAATTTCAAACAAAAAAGAACTGTAGCTTTCTGAGAGATTAATTATTAGCCGCCGCTCTTTGGTTGCTTAAAAGATGAATGGAAAATGTAATAGCAGAAACCCGTGATAGATTGATTGTTGTGAAGGAAAATCAATGACTAAACCATTAACTTATCCTAATGTAACCATCCGTTCTGTCCACTAAGCTTATTTATTGAATGTAATTACGTACATGAGATTGTAAACTGTTAAATATATATATGGATGGGAACTCAGAAAATATAGAAGCTAAATACAAAGTTTATGTTGTCACAGGGGCCACAGATTTTTCTCGATTTTGTTGGAACATGCTCTGAACTTAGTTGGATGGCCCCGAAGCAAAATGTCAGCATTGATGTGGAGTTTGAATCAGTAAAAACTGTTTGAGTGCTCGAATAATGTCAAAATCCTATTGGGCCAAAAATATAATTTTGTTATCTATTTTACGTTTCTTGGGTAATGCTGGTGTGGATTTTGTAGTTACCTGTCTAAAACAAGGGATTTACTCTTTGTATGATTAGAGTAGATGGGGTGGACCGATTGAGAAGGATGTAGAACGGTATGCAAAAGGGACCATGAAACTCAAACATCACCTTTGATTGTGGTTGCCAGTTACTTCGATTGGCATCTCCCAAGAAAGAAAACCCCATTGCAAAAAAAAAAAGAAAAAGAAAGGGGCCAAGCTCTAGGTCCTTATCAGCTCTGAGATAAAAATTGAACTAAAAATCATCATGATTATTACTGATATAATAATATATCAGTAATGATATATAAACAAAAGAACAACGTAGGGAGCAGAAGCGATATAATCTGCATTCTCGAGCTGCTGCTCACGAACGGCTCTTTCAAGCCAAAAGAAAAGAACTAAAAGAACGAAGTACTCCTATGATGAATCAACTGGTAAACTTAGTTGAGGATTCATCTAACTTTCAGTAAATTTGTAGTAGATCATTTTTTGGTGCAGGTACAAATGAAAAAGTGCTTTTCAGAACTTCGCCACTTGGAAGTATATTCCTGAAAAAATTGCAGTACATCTTGACTGGGGCAATGCATTAGGCTTGAAGGGGCCATTGATTCATAACCACATGCTTCCTTCTCACAGGTCACAACAACAACAGCAGCAGCAGCAATAGCCACGATAAAGGCTATAACATCAACCTTCATTATTCATTGGGCCCTTTCCTTGCACATCCCAACTTGCTTTTTTACAAACCTGTCTCGAAAAAAAAAAAAAAGTTTTGGAGCTGATTTGATTTCATAAAGCGTATCCTATTCTACCTGCTTCACTGCTTCTCCACATTAATCTTGATCACATCTCATGAGTTGAGTAAACACATATACTACTATTAGTTCATCCTACTTTTTTCTAGGACTTTGATCTAATCAGGAAAGCATAAAATTGCTAAAAAGATAAATGACATGAAAGGTACAAATGCTTTTTATCTCTCGAACGAGTAATCATTTCGGTAGACTTGTTCAACCTCGTATTGCTAGCTAATGGACCAAGTGTTGGATTTTATCAACAGCAAGGGCAGTTCTTTTGTGCCTTGTTAGGAAGAGTGACCTAAACCTCAGTTGAAAAGCAAACAACTAAAGCAAATCTTCATGTCAGCAAAATAAGTCTTCATTCGGCTCCCGCTGGAAAATCTAAAAACAAGAATCCAGTTTATGATCACCCAATGGCTAATGGAGGGGTTTGGGTTTTTGTGGGATGAGCAAAATACAAAGACATCATCTAATGTAGCTTTCCTTGTCAAACCCCTTTATGTCTTCATCAGTCCTTATCTGATATTAAACAAATCATAAATTTTTCAAAGGCTGTGACGCCTACTTTGTTACCATCGATGCAAACAAACAGGCCAATTTTTCTTAATTACGAACGTAAGCAACAGATAATCACTAAATTATCAAGCAAACGTTAGACTACAGGTTTCCATCTTGGCGTCACAAACATTGGGTATAAAACTAATCAAGAAGTGCAATTCCTCTCTAATAGTAGTGTATTAGTTTGATTACTTAGTGAAGGTTGAATAAGTAAGTTAAACCCAATCTTGGTAGTTTCAACCAAGATGATGCAGAAATAGCACCAAGGTTGTTTTGTAGGAAAATGAATTTTATCAACATTGATGGTCCCTTTCTCCTGTCATCTGGATTAAGTGTTCGTGTTGCTAAAATTTATTAGTAAATAGTGGCAGCAAATAGTCTTAGAGCATATGGTAAGGAACACGAATTGAAAACATTATCTTGAAAATCTTCTTACGTGCCCAAAGAACAACGATAATCACAAGGCAAAGCAAAGTACCAATTTTAAGGAAGTAAACTTACTCTATTTTGTGTGGGACGGAGACTATTGCTGGAGATTATATATATCACAGCATAAAAATTTTTAAATTCCTCTGGAAGTATACCTACTACAAGTACAGGAGAGTGGTATAAAAGATTATGAGGAACAAATTGGGCAACTTTTCAAATGAGGCTTTGGTTGAAGGAAAAGGATATAAAATTAAGTGATATAAAATTGGGCAACTCTTCGAATCTTGGATTTGACAGTCGAAGATGAAAAGTGAGGAGGGTAGGAGGTAAAAAAAAAAAAAAGGTCTCACTTCTTAACCACTCCTATTTTTCCTCTTTTTCGCGGATTAAAATTAATCCTAGAGCTCATGTCATTGGCGATTTTTTTTTTTTTTACGCAATTAGGTCTAAATAATGTGACATAAATAAATTCAAATTTAAAATTGAAATCATGCATATATAGTATAAATTCAAGATTGCTAGGGTAAAAAACTCACTACTATATGATCAGTGCATAAAAAATTAATCCCTCTCATTATTTGTATCTAAATCCTTTATAGGTCACTTACCACGCCAAGAATAATAATTTTTCTCTAGTGTAGCTTCGTGGTTTGGTCACCGAAGTGGCAAAGTCTATCCTTGTGTGAAGCCGTGAAGGTCATGACCGTGGCAAGAGTTTCATCATTTGCTGGTATGTCATAAAAATATAATGGGGAAGTAAATATTCTTTTAAAAATATGAGAAACAAGAAGTGGAAAATTATTTTAAAGAAGGAAAAAAATTATAAATTGAATACAAGAGATTTATTAGAGTGAAAAGGGAATTTTCAAAGGAAATACCTGTACTCTGTTTGCTGAATCTGGCACTGATATTAGAGATATCTGCATATTAAACACGTCAATGTTGGATTTTTATCAGCAAAACCCTTCTTTTCATTATTTTCATTGATAGAACTTTTTTTTAGTAATGCCAAATTTTTGGGTCTTATGTAAATTAATGGACTATTGATGCAAATTTGCATATATATGCTTTAAAAAGTTCAAGCCGAAAAAGTTTTATTTGGCATGATAAATGTTTATGCTCGAGCATAACCACTTACTGAAAATTGATCATGGCCTTTTTCAAGTGCTTATTCGAAATCATTTGACGGAATACCAGATGCCATCTAGAAATATTGGAAAATTGGCTAAAGATGGACAAGGAGAATTGTAAACGTGTACAAAGTAGGAGCCCTTCATCCATATGGATTCAGCACTAAAATGGGTATTAGGATGTTTGAAGGTAAATTAAATCTGTCAAGAACCAAAATTCATCTACCGCGTGATCTGACAAGAACTAGGATTGATCTTAGAATGTTTACAAACTTTTATCTCTGAACCTTTTCTTTTTAACATGAGAGAGAGAGTGGAATTTAAGAAACAAAAGGGGGTGCGAGGATTAGAATCCAGAATCTGCAGATCAAAACAACATGTAATTTAAAAATAAAATTAAGAAAAAATGATCGGTTTCATCCTTCACATTTCATAAAA